TTAAAATAACATAAATTAACTGCTTGCGCCAATATAATAATTACAATATTAGGATTTTGTCCCTGAAAATTTGCTACATGTAAGATGTCTAAAAATAGAGTGGAGGTGGATTGGACAGTTTGCAGATTATGAGTTGGAATAAAAACATCTCAGTTAAGCCAAAAACATGGCAACCAATATTTTCTGTTATAAAAATATTTTAGATGAATTTACTTCTTTTATGAAAGCTGTCTGAAACCGAAACGAAGAGCAGCAGCTCTCGGTTCGTTCACAGGCCAGGAACAGCAGTACCTGCAGCACGCAGCGCACGCCCCCAGAAGTTTCTGAAGCTTTCTGAAGTCCGCTTGCCCGAGGGAGCGGGGACGAGAGATTTCCCGGCTACGTTCTGAAAAATTTACCTTCACCTGGGTCAAGCTTGTCCAGGAAAACAAAACCAGGCAGAGACTTTTCAGGAAAGTGATGTTAACTGTCCACTAGAGGCTGTAATGAGACCGACGATCACCCTGAGGTTGAAACCGTCACGATCGCTGACTTTTAAATGGGGAAAAAAAAAAAAAAAAAGTTGTGGAAACCAGCAAGAGAGAACAGTCGTGGTTCTATTTAAGTAGTCATGCATACGGATATGGCATTGCAAAAACGCGAGGACAAAAGCGTTTCCCAGGCTCGCAGCGCTGGTTTTTATTTCGGAGGCACTCCGGCTCCACAATACGGCGTTGTTGCATTTCTCTCGGTGACTCTGCACCCCGCTTCGGTCGGTGACTAAATTGTTAGGTCATGGGCAAACTCAGCCAAAAGGTCTCGCAAACGCAGCTCGCAGGCAAGATACACAGGGATCGTGTTTCCAGACGCTCCGTGCTGAGCACCTGCAGGAGGGCGAGAGCGGTCCCAACACCTCCTGGTCTTCCAGAACCGTCGGCAGCCGCCAGCTCCCTTCCTCCAGGCGCCGCACCTGCGGGCCAAGGTGCGCCCCTTGCGCGCGCGCGCCGGCCGGGCCTGGCTGGGCGCGGGCTGGTGCGGGGCTGGGGACCGCACTTGCCGACTAAGTCCCGAGGAAGTACTTGGGCGCGGGTTCGCAAGAACCGCCGTTGGGTGCTCCTCTCGCTTTCTCTGCCTCCTCCGCTGGTTACCTCATTTCCGATGAAATTAATGATCCCGAATTAGCTGCGGGAGGGACGCACGCAGGCGCGTGCGCGCGCGGAGGTCGTGTGTCAAAGCCTAGCGCCACCGAGGAGTTCGGTGCCCGGAGCTGATCGCCCGACCTGCAGAGACAGAGGGAGGGAGAGAGAGGAGGGCGGCTCCCGGGGGTCGCCAGCTTTCAGGGGCCGCAACGGTGAGGCTGCCTCGCGCAACGGGACTCAGCCTCTCAACTTTCCAGAGTTGCGCGCTGGAGCCAGCCCCGCGGACCCAGGGTTTGGGTTCCGGGGCGCCGGAGCGAGCCGTGCTTGCCGGTTAGCGTACAGTGGAGGAGGCGCACACCAAGCCTGCGGGTCCGCTCCTCGCGGCGCCGGGGAGCAAGGGCACGTCCGGATGGGAAACGGCCGACCTCTCCGCCCCGCCCTGGGTCCTTCACAGCCCCCGACACTCGCTGGGAGAAACCCCCAGGCTGCCCGAGTTGCAACCCTCCGACTGGGTGGCGGGACCTGGGAAGGCGCTCAAGGACCCCCCTCCCCCGGCCCGGTCACCGCTCCAATGACCTCATCGTCCCAACTCCCCGCCCCTTTCCCGAACCTGGAAGGAGCGGTTCCACCACCACTCCGCTCCGCCCTACCCCCACCGAGGCCCGCTTCTTCCCTCCCGCTCCTCGGGGGCCCGCCCGGCGCGGGGCTCCCCGGGGGCTGCGTCCCCGGGCGGCGACGCGCACCGAAGGGTTAAGGGCGCGGGCCGCCGCCGCCGCCGTGCGCTCGCCGTGCTCTGCGCGGCTCGCCGGGCCGCCTGCCAGGGGGTGCCCCCTCCCCCCCCATGAAGTCGGATCCTGGAGCTGCGGCGGCGGCCGCCAACTGCTCCATATTTGGCTTCTATTACACATTTACATACTGGAGCGAGCGAGCGAGCGAGCGAGCGCGAGAGAGCGCGAGGGAGGGCGGGCGGAGGGAGGAGGGAGGGCGAGCGGGAGGGGGAGGAGGAGGAGGAGAGAGCAGAGTATACCGCAGACATCATTTCTACTACAGTGGCGGAGCCGTACAGGACCTGTTCACTGCAGGGGGATCCAAAACAAGCCCCGTGGAGCAGCAGCCAGAGCCACAGCGGCCGCGAGACACTGTTTCTCTCCCTCTGTCCCCCCTCCCCACGCAACCCCAGATCCATTTACACTTTACAGTAAGTGGCTATTTTTTTTTCCTCCTCTGGTTCTTTCTCCCCCCTCCCCCATCCCCTTCGCCCCTTATTTAGATTAAAATCCCCCCGCCCCTCTCTCCGCTCCCCCGAGAGGGGCAAAAGCAACAACCAGCAAACAAACCCCAAACCCCAATTGGCTGCACGGAAAACAGCTGGAAGAGGAGCGAGGGAAACCGACGCGTCGTGTTGTGTGTGTGTATGTGTGTGTGTGTGTGTGTATGTGTGTGTGTGTGTATACAACCGTCCCCAGCTCCAGCCTCTCGGCCAGGACCCCAGCTCCGAGCGCCGACGCGGCCCGCAGGGGGAACTGCCAGGGCCCCGGGTGGGCGCCCGCCGGGCGAGGGGGCGCGCCCGGGCGGGGGGCGCGGGTGGCGAGAGCGGCGGCGGCGCCCCGCTCCGGCGGTTGCCGGTCCGGCCGCTAGTGCGGAGAACCATGTCCTCCTCCCTCCGGGTGGCGCAGCGGGGAGGCGGCGGCGGCTGGGGGTCGCGCTGTCCTCCTGCCCCCCGCCGCTTCCTTCGCGATCCTCCTCCCCAGAGGGGGGCGGTGAGCGCGAGCGGGGCTCGGGAGGGCTAGGCTTCCCCGCCAGTGGTCGCCTGGCCCCGGCGCTCCCGGGTGGGGGTCTGCCCGCCGAAGCCGGCCTTCCGGGGCGTGCAGCTGCGGGCTGGGAGAGGGCTGCTCCCGGCGCCGGGCCGGACTTTGCGCGCGGCGCAAGGCGTGAGGGTGCCCGGAGCGGGGCTGGAGTGGCGGTGGCGGCCCTGGCTACCGCCGCCACCGCCGCCCTGTTGGTGCGGCCGCTTCCTGATCATGTGCAGCCGCCGCCGCCCGGAGCCGGGAGCCCGCGAGCGCCCCAGCCCGGGCCCGCGTCCCCGCCAGCGCCCGCGGCAGGAGCAGAGGAGCGGCGGCGGGCGCTGCCCTGCGCCGGGAGTGAAGGGCTGCGCGGCTGCCGGGAGGGTGAATGGGAAGCCAGGAGGAGGGGAAGAGGCGGCGGCGGCGGCGGAGGAGGAGGCGCTGCGGGGCTTGGGATGCGCCTCGGAGCCCCGCCGCTCGCTCGCTCGCTCGCTCGGGGCCGGGCCGGACACTCTGCCACTCCCGCGGCCGCCGCCGCCGCCGCCGCCTCCTACGTGGTTCCAGTGCTGCGCGCAGGCCGGTCCCGCAGGGGGCAGGGCCGCGGCCGGCCAGGCGGAGCGAGAGGTGAGGCGGCGTGGGCGCGCGGCGCGGTACGAGCAAGAGGGTGCGGGTGCGGATGGGGGTGCGGGTACGAGTGCGCGCCGGGAGGGGGCTCCGCCGCCCCCGGGGCCGCCTGCCGCGTCCTCGGCCCCGCGCCCTCGGGCCGCCTGCGGAAACTCCGCGGCTTGCGCTTTCATTTTATTTCAGACCACGTAGGGGGGCTTGGCTGGGGGCGCTGAAACAATTCAGGTTTTCTAGGGAGATTGAGCAAGGAGCTTAGTTGGGGGGTGGAAGTCGGATGGTTCTGGAGAGGCTGCCAGAAAAAGCAAAAAAAAAAAAAAAAAAAAGCTTCTAAGGACGAGGAGGTCCGCTTCGATCCCGTGCCTGTTTTGCTTTCTTGGTGCATAATCCTACAAGGAGGGCAATATAAATACTTCGGGAGGTTGAGAAATTGCTGAAGAGTAGTAGGGGCAAAAGAAAAAAAAAAGCCATCGGAAGCTGGTTATATAATGCGCCGTGTGGCTAAGGAGAGCGGCTGGCTATTTTTATTTTGTTTACCGTATGTTGTGCAGTAGGGACTCCTCCGAACTGGTTCTGTCCCCGAAGAGACTCGTAGCTTCCCGGTGCGAGCCGCAGGAGACAGCAGCGGGAGGAGACCCTCTTCCTCCCACGGAAGAAGAACAAATGCCTTGGCGTGGCGCTCTCCCTGCGCGTCCCGCCGTGCGCGCCCCGGGGACGCGACTGTGCGAGGGAGGGCTGCTTGGGCCATCTCGCAGTCACATCGCAGTGACATTCGCGTTGTATAATGCAGGCTGCTCTTCGGATTTCAGCAGCATCCTTATGGAGCGCGCGCTGCAGTGGGTAGTTACCGAGTGGTTATTTTTAGGCACTGCTAGTTACTTTTGCGAGTGTGTTAACTGAGCCGCTTCTGTTTGGGTTTCTGGGGAGTCTTTCCCTGGGAAGCCTCCGCTCCGGGTCCTTGGGTGGGAAGAGGTAGCCGTCTTGAGCTGTCTGTGGAATAAAGCTGATGCCTGAGGGAATCAGTAGAGAGGTGGAAGAGAAAATCCTGCACATGAACTCCCTCGGCAAGGATTGCACCACAGCAGACACTGCTCTGGCATGTAATCTCCCCTGATTGCATGCATCAGTCAATATTTTAGCAGCTCTGCAAATAAATGGTGTTGAATGCCACCTCCTCCGTAAAATAGAGGTTGAAGGGCTCCCCTGGACCTCCTGGCCGCCTGTCTTTCTCGTCCTGTGGATCCGTGTCGGCGGCGGTGTAGGTTTTCGGTGCACTTACTCCAGCCCTCATCACTCCTGTAATTAGATCAGGCTGCCATGGCAACAGACAGTGTTCCTCGTCCATTCAGGTGGGTTTGTCTTGTCCCTGAACTACTCCAAGTGTTTTATGCGCAGTATTTGTGCTGCCCAAGCCAGACGGGAGACTTCACGATTTTCAATTGCATCTTCTTGCAGTCATTTGGACGGGAGGCACTGAATGAGGCTTCTAGCTACTCAACTTTTATAAAGGACACCAGCAGGCTGTTGTCACTGGGTGCAGTATGTAAATGCATCCCCGCAGACGGTGAAAGGAGCCTGACAGTCCTGCTGGTGTTTATTGTGAGCAGATCAACAAGTATTTGGTTTGTTAGAAACCTCTCAGAGTTTAGGAAAGCAACATTGCTTTTGCAGTCTGGTGCCTTTGGCCTTGCAGGCACTTAACCCTTGCAAGTGTGAACAGCATTCATCCTTGGAGCTTGGCTTGCTGATAGTGATGGCTGCCCTTCCGTTTACTCCTGAGGAGGAAGTTACTGAGCTGGGAAGGATATCCCTGTTGTCACATTTTGAAACTTTATATCCACTGCAACAGAACCTGCTACTAACAGTAGGCAGAGCTTCGGAGTGAATTCATTCTCAGTTTGGATCTCTTGGCTCTGATCTTTAATGATGTCTGGTAATAAGTTAAGAGCTTTTTCCCCTCCTCAGGCAAGGAATGAGATAGGCCTTTACTAGTAAACTGATACTAAGTAGGGTAGTGCTTTTGCGCTGTAAACAACTTGCATTCTGTTTTAGGATCTAATGTAATGGGCATTTGAAGAGCAACATTGTAGTCTTTGCATGAGGGACAGCCAGCCCGGTTAAGCCTGCTAGGCAAAGGAAAATGATATCCAGGAAAAGAGAAGAGCAGCGCTAGTCGTGGAAGTGCTGTGTTGCTCCGGTAGACCAGGGAAGATGGAGTGGTTTCATTTCCCTGGTATTTGAAAGACAAAAATGGAGACTAATAATGCTTGGATTTGGTTATGACCGTGCCAGTCTGTTTACAGTTTTATGACCACAAAGCTAAATGGATGAATTTCTTTTCTTCCCCCTGGGGTCAGGATTGAGAGAGCTACCTCCATACTCCTCGCAGGGGGTTTATGAGTTTGTACTGTTTAGTGAGTTTATGTGGTTGGTAGACTGCCTGTGGCCCGGTCAGGTGAAGCATTGCTGAGGTTAAAATGAGCTATTATTTCTGGGAGGTAAATACAAGGGAAGCAAGATACACAATAAAGCACAGAAGTTTAAATTTCACACACTGCCTTGGAGGTCCTGGATGATATTTTGCAGCATATTTTGTAGCAAAATGTGAATGTGTGGTTTTCAGTGCACAAATAAATTCATGGTACAATAAGTATGAAAAATGTACCATGAAAGACAATATCTTTCCTCTCTGGATTTCGTTTTAAGAGGGTTTGGTAAATAGAAGTGGTACTTTGTCAAAAAAAACTCATGTATGCCTATTATGAAAAAATCTTGCATGGGCTTCAAATGTTTTTGTACCAAAATGAACTTACCTTTTTAATCCTATTTTGCCATGACTTTTTTTTTTTTTTTTTTTTTGAAGTGAACCCAGGGTCCCTGAATTGTCTTTAAGAGAAAGGTCAAAGAAAAGCCCTCTGGCCATCAGATTGTATGTCTGATATCTGTAGATTGCCTTAAGTTTCAACATCCCCAAGTTGTCTGGGAGTCCTGAGAGAGGCCGTGGGTATGAGATTATGAAAATATTAATAAACATTTCTCGGCTCCTATTTTTGTTGCTAGTGTAGAATTCAAGGACTCACATTCCTTTTCTGTACTGTTGTGTTTTTTATTTATTTATTTTTCCCATTCTGAAATGTCAAGTGGATTTTGGTTTTGCACATGCCTTGAATGATTGTTTCTGGTGATGAACACATTGTAACACCTGGCTCATTTTGCTTCCTATTAGAAGGTAGTCACTAAACAAGTTCAGTAGAATGATGAAACTCACAAAAGCAGCTCTGTGGAGGAGTTAACTCTTTATACTATGGTTATCTGTAGTTTCTACTCTGAAATGCTTCCATACTTGCACAGGTAAAGGGACTTAGAGCAGCCTAAGGGGGTGGGAGGTATGTTGACTTCCACTGCTATATATTTTCAGAGTAATTCACTAGTTTGCATGGCTGCCTTCTGGAGGCATTTAGATCGGTGCAGCTTAATTGCTTCAAAGAACAGATTTAGTTCCGGTCATACTTCCAAGGTTATCAGAAGCAGGCCCTCCTTATTTGGTGAAATGCATTGAAAACAATAAACTGTAGAAATCCCAATAGAGATAGTAATTTTCTGTTCTAGGCTATTAAGACTTTTTTTTTAGAAGATATTAATTTTTTAGTCATCAATTAGGCTGTTCACATTTTAGTTTCATTTAATTTAATGGAATAAATTTACTTAAAATTTCTTTAAGAAGTGTTATAAGAATGAGTATATATAGTGTTTCATAGATTTTAAAATTCTGGCTGACAACTGTAACTGGATCAAGGTTTTAAAGAATGCAGAATTGTATAAACTTGTAGAAGAAATAAAAAGATTGTTGTTTAGGTGAATAATCTATTTCTGGCAAATGCTTTTGATTGCTTCTTTCATATAAATATTTATATGTTTTTGTGCTTGTAAATATGGTAACATTTTTAAGCTTTTTTCTTATTTGTTTATTTTAATTTTATTTTTGAAAGGCAGAAAAGAGAGAGCTCCTTTCCCCTGGTTCACTCTCCAAATGCTTGAAACAACCAGGGCTGGATCAGGCTGATGCCTGAAGTCAGGAGCCAGGAACTGAATCTGGGTCTCCCACATGGATGGCAGGCACCTAATTATTTTTTTAAGATTTATTTTATTTATTTGAGAGGCAGAGTTACATAGAGAGAGGGAGAAACGGAGAGCGAGAGAGATCTTCCATCTGCTGTTTTACTCTCCAAATGGCCGCAGCCCCAAAGGGCTGGGCCGGGTTGAAGTGTGCCCATCTTCTGACGCTTTCCCAGGCAGCTTAGCAGGTAGCTGGACCTAAATACTTTAGCCATCCTCTGCAGCTCCCCAGCCTGCACATAAGCAGGAAACTGGGTTGTAATTAGAGTAGCTGAGGTTCGAATCCTGGCACTCTGAAATAGAATGTGGGTGTCCAAATGAACGACTTAACTGCGAGACCAAATGCCCACCTGAGTAACGTATTTTATGACCCTCTGTAAGGTCATTTGTAATGTGGACCTTTCAGACTAATGAAGTGTAGGTATTTGTACTACATATTACTACCATCATGAACATGCTGAAACATGGTTAGAATTATTACAACAAGCATTATATTTTGTTTGATATCAAAGCACAAATGTGTCATTGATTTTTCTATAATTTTGAAGGCATCCCATTTGTGGAGTAAAGAAAACACAATGATAATTGCCAAAGTGTAAGCAATACTGGTGGTCTACCTGAAAGCTACTTTTCAGAAAATTTATTGTAGTATAATCAGAGTTTGAGACTTAAAGGGGCAGAGATTTGCCTAATTACAGTGTTTTGACCTAAGAGAAACTCTCTCTCTCTCCTCTCTCTCTCTCTCTCTCTCTCTCTCTCTCTCTCTCTCTTTTTTTTAACCACTTAGATACCCTTTAACCTAATGGGCTTCCAGGGAGTATTTAGCAGAAGTTTTCAGTGGTAATTATGAGCGCTGCTAACTTATGTCACTTAAACTTCTAATGCTCAAAGTCCATGTATTTTCTTGTCACTGCAAGTGACAGCCTTCACTGTGCCCTTGGCTTTGGCCTCCTCTCCCCTAAGTTTCCTGGTCTTTCCTGACCATCGCATCAAGATTATTTGGGCCATCTTTCTTGACAGTCTTCAGTACTAATTAATATTCTATTCTGTTGCTCTGCTGTGCTTTTAAAGTGTTAACTATTCCATCTGTAGCATATATGACTGTGTAAAACATTCTATGGATTTTCTTGTATGTTGTTGGTCTGTTTTTTGCAAGGCATCCGCACTGTCTTACTTTCCTCCTTGTGTTTCTTCCTTCACATGGAATTTAGTTAATAATCTGAACTCTCTTTATTACCCTAACTAGTGTAGCAACACGGATGCTTTTGTAATAACTAGGCATACCAACATGAGAGTAAATTAATATTTTACAGCCTTTGCATCATGTTTGACTGTTCTCTGCACTTTAGCAGAATAGGAGGAGACAGTAATGTGAACTCTATAAAGTCTTATCTGCCAGGTAATATGTAAATAGGATTGTGTGCACACACGTCGATATCTAAACACTCTCCCAACTGTGAACCCTTAAAGCCGGTCTGCACATCCACCGTACCTGCAGCTTGTTTGCAGACGAGTATCCAGTGTTTTCATGAGACATTGGAGGTCCTACCAGATAAAATCAGGACACCGCCTCTTCACCCCAGCCCTCAGAAGAAGTGCTGTGAAAGATTAAATCAAATCGCCATTTCGCTTTGCCTTTATTTATATTTGAAACTTAGCAAGATTCTTGGTGGAGGGATGGTGTCGTCTAAGGAATTGAAAGGCATTATACCTACAGCAGTGTGCCTTGCTTGTCTGTACACCCAGGTTAAACATGGGGGAACCCAGGACTGCAGAAATGACTTCGTTTGTGTAGCGGTCCCAATCATGCAATAGCTATTTAAATAAAGGCTTGGTGAATGGATTAGTTAGAAGGAAGAATACTTTGGCCACTATTCATTACTTTGAGAAGTGCTGGAAAGAATTGGAAGTTATTTCCCTTCCAGCTGGGCTGTGCTCTTAAAAATAGTGAGTGTGTATGGATGAAAATAATCCTGACGACTGAGATGCGTTGCCATGTACCCAGAGATAATTGGCTCACTCACCTGTTTACAGATTATTCACATTGGAGATCATATTCATCGCTCCAGAATAGTTTCTTTCTGACACCCAATACAATCCCAGGCCTTCTCCTTCCTACTGTTACCTGGCGTGAGCTTAGGAAACCCAAACTAAATTTAAAATCAGCCTAAACAAACATGCAGATCAGCTGCAGGCCTCAAAGACTGAAAATCAGTCCAGCACTTACTAGTTTGGGGATTCTAATAACTATGCTACCAATTCTTTTGGTGTAGTGTGGATAATTCAGAATTACCAGTGTTTAGAAATATAATTTTAACAGAGCTAAAAAGTATGTTAGCAGATCAAGTCCTCAATGTCTTCCATTTCTATGTATAGGTCTTTACCTCACAACACTGCTACAAGCACCAGGCTCCCTGATGGAAAGGTATATGGAAGACCCATTCTTTCATCCATTGATTCACGCATTCATGCCTCATACAGGACATAATTCTGTGACAAAATGAAAATGAAAAAGTCCATTCAGTAATCCAGTTATTTAAGGTTTAGTGGAAAGTCTGGTGCCCATGTCTCCACTTAAAATTTGTTTCCATGTTTTCTTTTTTTCTGTCCCCTTGGACCTGTGTGCTAATAGCTAATGGCTCTAATGTTGCATGTTGATAGATAACTCTAGATGTTAAAATTAGGCTTCAACTCAATTCTTGTTCAATCCATGCCCATTTTTCACCCCTTATTCCTTGTGATAACCAGCATGCGTTTGCTAGCCGCTTTGGGGGAAAGAGTGACAGTGGCTGGCTCACATGGGGAGACCGACTTCTTAATTTGACTGAGGGGATGACCTTTTTGTGGTTGGCTTCCCTCCGAGTCCTGCTGACTAAAACCAGACCCACCTTTAGAGCTGGCTGGTATCTGTATCCTCAAATCTGGGTGTTCTTAAAATTCATGTTTCAGTGTGTAAAAATATTAAGGCAGGCTTATTGGGAGGGGTTTCTTCTGTTTCTCATTTTGGATTTCCTTTCCTGCTTTTCCTGGACGGCTGCAGGGCCATCGTGCAACAAACCCCTGGGGTGATCCCTTCGAGACGCAGGCTTGGGTTTCATCCTCACACCAAGTGCTCCTCCTCCACGGCCTCGGCAGGGAAGTGCGTCTTATGTCAGGTGAGAATTTGGTGATGCTCTGTTTTCCATCTGAAGATAAAATCTGGCCTGGGAAAGTCACCTGCCAGCTACGCTTTAGTGCTCGGTTGACTGCTGAATATAATTTTCTTTGCAGACTACATTGTGTGGGAAAATGAGGAATTGCTAAGATCATTCCTTTCGAACTCGGATTAAAAGTATATTCTCTTCTTGGCTTAATGTCTTCGATTCATGGAGAAGTCTGAGTTTGCCTTTGTAGTGATTGGTTATTGCTGTTTGGGGCTGGACCCTGAGCATTTTAGTGTTACCTGTGCTCAGGAATTTTATGTTAATCATCTGAAGTCAAAGACTTCACATTTTAAGAGTTTTTTCGGTTGTATAGTCCATGCACAGGGAGACAGGGAACTGTTTGTTCGGTGAGTAGCAACCAGTGTTTGTTGAATTTTTGAATTTCTTTGTGTCTGTTTGGATTTTACAACTTCCTGATTTTCTCACGTACAGTCAATTTCTCTGGCCTGCGGAGTCGTGCAGACACAGGGTGGATGCAAGGGTTGATGACTCATGGCTCTGGTTCTCTGTGGAAGACGAGACAGGAGGGCACTGCCTCGATCAAAAGCAGGAGGGAGATGGAAGCGAGCTGCACCTTGGGACCAGCAGGGTTTGGGAACATTGTACACAACCAAGGGAGATTGTGAAATAGAAGGGAGGGGACCAATTTCTGTTTGTCTTGGGAGCAGACCTGCTGGAAGCAATGGATACTAGATCCAAGCTTCCCCAGCCAGGCAGCAGAATCACCTGGAGAACTTAAAAAAGGAGGATTTGGGGCTCCACCTGACATCTGAATCAAAATGTTTCCTGCTGGTTCCTTGGAGCCATTGACCTCCTAGGTACTGATGCCTCCCATGTTTGGGAGCTGCCGGGGTGCAGCTCCTCCCCAGGTCACACTGTGCTTCCTTATTGGTGAGAAGCACAGTCAACTTTTCCCAACATCGCATCCGAATAGCTGCATGATCAAAACCCATTTGTTGAGACGTTTGCGCTACCAAAACGTCCGTTGTCCAAATGAGTCACAAGTTTCTTTCACGAAAGAGAGGCCTGTCTACACTTGAGGTCCAGTTTTTCCAGCTACATGTAAATTCCACAGGATCCCAGTTAAGAGCATGGAGTGCAGGACCAGCTTTCCAGATTTAAAATCGGGAACTGCTCTTGAGACCTTGGTCCTAACGATATTCTGTCCATGCCTCACTCTCTTCATGTGTCAGGTGGCAATAACTTAGGTTAGCACTTTCTCACAGGGCTGCCTTGAGGATGGATGGAATGAAATAATGTGTGCTCTCTGGGTAGAATAGTGCCTGGCCTGTGGTTTGTGATGTGTTAACACAAGTTATCATTGCTGGCACCTGATTCATATCTTGACCTGGTGATTGTGACAGTCTCGTTTTGGGATGTCTGCTCCTGAACCATGCATGTCTAGGATCCAGTAAATAGACCTTGACCTTCATTTTTGTATCCACCTTGTAGACATTTACAACTCTGCAAAGCCAGGGAGCCTTTTATTTTGTTTTTCCTGTATTTTAAGTTCTGAATATATCACAACTCTCTTATTTTTGAAATACCGTTGTCAGATAAACTGATGAATTGCATGCATAAATGGGGTTATTTGTGGGTTGAATAAGATGAAAAGCTGAGTGACTGAGTGTTAGGCTTCAGGAAGGGTAGCCAGGAAAATCCTATGAAGGGCGAGGCAGAGGTGGGAGAAAGTCATCTACACGTTGGAGCTGGGTGAAATTCGGAACTGAATTCCTTCCACTGTTTTACTCTAAATTAGCGAGGTGTCCTTAGAGCAGAACTAGAGTAACCTGGAGTTACATGGCAAGGTGAGCCTTGTCAGATCTACAAGTGACAGCTCAAGGAAAGAGTGGCAGCCTTCCTGGTCTTCCTGCTACCTCTTCATGATGCGACTCATTCTAACAGTCGTGTGCTAAGCAGAAAGTCCTCCCATTTAAGTTTCTGGAGAAGGAGTTTAATTGCATGGGGGTAAAAACACATGTCATTAAAAAAAAAATCTTGTATTTAAAGAGAGCCATTGGTGATCACAAAACATCTGAAGAATTTTATTGGGAGAAAAACAGGCAACAAGATTCATCTCTCGGTCATTATGGGCAACTTAGAAGTGAGCCAGGTTTTTGTAATCTGTTAAGCAAGCCGGAGCGTCTTATGAATACTCATATTGTGTTACTGACAAAGTAGTGCAAAGTCACCTTGAATTTTAAGCAGCTGACATTTTCTGTGATCACATTTAAAAGAAGCTTACACGCATCATCTAAACATTTTGCATAAATAATGGCCTCATTACAGTCCTCACAATGGATGGTGAAACGTAGGCAGGCAAACGGTATCATTCATGTTGTACTGTAACTCTCATTCAGCTTTTTGAAAAAGGAAAGCCTAGATTGCAATTATTTCGGCTCCCAGTTCTTTTATAAATGTGATATCGCTGTAGCAAGTTATGACCCAACACTTGTTCACAGGCATGGTCTATATAAAGAAATGATTCATTCATTTATTCACTGTGTAGTTGTTTTTTTTTTTTTTAATTTTAAACTGCTTCATGGTGCTGTGGGAATGAGAGTAAGTGAGAGCTACTGGAAGAAGAGATTATATTCTTCGTCGTCTGGCAGGAGGAGAGAGAAATTCTGTGAGGTCACTAATACCAGGCAGAATGGGGTGGTTTGTACAAGCAGGGTGCGCTCTAACGTGGAAGGAATTCACTCGAGGAGGAGGATCCTTTGAGTTGAACTCTGACTGCTGGGTTGCATTTGCAGAAGAGATGGGGAGAGCTGGAGGAAGACTGTTTAAGTGGCTGGATCACAACAGGGAAGCCGGGCTGATGGTGGAGATGGCAGTTTCTGGAGTCAGGCAGGCAGTGGCGAGTGTGGCAATGAAACTGCTGAGAGGTCAGATCTGGAGATAAATTTGGAGGAGTCGTTGGCAGAAAAGTGATCTTTGAAAGTGGGCTGTGGCTTCTCGTGCCTGGCAGGGAGCTTGCCACTCGGGAGGGGATGACTATGTTTCAGGGATGAGATCGGCTCTCATATCCAGAGACAGTATGAGGCAGCGGAGGGTGGCTTCAATCATAGCTGTAGCCCGGCCGTGGTGTGCCTGCTCTCTAAGACCTGGCTGGAGGGAGGGGAGGGGAGGTGGCGGAGGAATAGGACGAGAGAGAAGCTTGTAATCCAGGTCTCCTACCTGGGAGACACAGCTCAGGCACTTAGGACATCCAGTGCTGAGCTCCAGCTCCGTAGAATCTTGTTGAAACCTTTGTGCCTGTAAGACCTTTACAAAATAGGAACTTGAGCTAATTTTAGCCAAATCTAATCTGAGTGTGTATGAAAATGAATACTGCCTTTGAAATTCAGCACATGCGCTATCTGTATTCATCTAAACACATGACCCCCCCTCCCCATTTTCATCTCAACACTTTTATTATTAAGAAGGTTTTTCAGGGGAGCCCTGTACATATTAACAACAATTCCAGGATTTCCTTTGATCTCTGGCTCCCTTGATTTATTCATCTCATGTGGAACATGTAAATCACATTGTGTCATTGACTTGACTCTGTAGCAATTGTTCATTTGTGGCAATTCATTGACTGTCCTTTGATACATCTACTCCTATGGATGTATTTTGTAACCTTAGAGAATGTCCCAGGGGCTTTCTGGGAAATATTCAAGGAATAGTCCAAAAGTTCCTGAAAAAGCATAGTATAAGAAAAGTATGCATGGATTTCAAATTTTTCTTGCACCAAAATGAACTTAGCTCTTAATTCCATTTTTCCATAAACTTTTTGAAGTACACTGATATCTATGGGTATTCCCATCTCCTAGACACAGCTCTTTGAATGATCGGCTTCCATGGATACCACTTAGAAAATAAACACTATGGAATCAGTAAGCTTACTCCTTGGGAGAAAGTTAGCCTAAGACTCCATGACTCAAGGTGAATGGGAAGGCTGGGATGTTAGCGAGCAGTCTGTCTTAATGTAATTAGGAAGAACTTGAGGATTATTTGAGTTTTTTTGGAACTGGATTATTTAAATGGACTGTCCGTGCTACCCCAAATGACTTAAGAGAAAGGCAATGACTTACTTCACCGTCATCAAAGACAAGAAGGTTAACACAGAATGAGAGGGATAGAGGAAACAATTCCAGGCACATTTTTCAGTGTACAGATTTTTTTTTTTTAAAGATTTACTGGGGCTGGCGCTGTGGCACAGAGAGTTAAAGCCCTGGCCTGCAGTGCCGGCATCCCATATGGGTGATGGTTTGAGTCTCGACTGCTCCACTTCCCATCCAGCTCTTTGCTATGGCCTGGGAAAGCAGTAGAAGATGGCCCAAGCCCTTGGGCTCCTGCACCCATGTAGGAGACCCAGAAGAAGCTCCTGGCTCCTGGCTTCTGATCAGCTCAGCTCTGGCTGTTGCAGCCATTTGGGGAGTGAACCAGTGGATGGAAGACCTCTCTCTCTCTCTCGCTCTCTCTCTCTGACCTTACCTCTCTCTGCAACTCTGTCTTTCAAATAAATAAGTCTTTTAAAAATGTATTTATTTATTTGAAAGGTAGAGTTACAGAGAGGCAAGCGAGAGAGAGGAAGAGAGAAATGTCTTCCATCTGCTGGTTCACTTCCCAGGTGGCCACGATGGCTGGAGCTGAGCTGATCCAAAGCCTGGCGCCACGAGATTCTTCTAGGTCTCTCATGTGGTTGCAGGGGCCCAAGCACCTGGGCCATCTTTTACTGCTATCCCAGGCCATAGCAGAGAGCTGGATGGGAAGTGGAGCAGCCGGGACTCAAACCAGCACCCAGTTGCGGCACTCCAGTTGGTGGCTTCACCTGCTATGCCACAGCACTGACTCCAGCCTACATGCGTTTTTAATGAGCATCTATAGCATGAGAGGCATTCAGCAAGAGAGGCTCTTCTAGGGATTGTGGGTTGGTCTATAGTTCTCACTGACTATTCTCAGTG